GTGTAAGCTGTGTTCGGGATTCGCACCTGGGTAGCCAAACTAGCAGCAATCATGATACCAAGTGAGCTTACCTCGTATACGTATTAGTGTTAGCAACAACAGGAAAGCCCAAGCATTGTAAAATATACGTCTTGCCACACATCTTTGCCATAATCTCACCCAACATGATTCAAAATACTAGTAAAACGGTACAAGTTAAAGTCATCCACTGCGTTAAATAATTATAAAATGCGCGCATATTGTTCGCGTCCAACTGCTTCGCTCATGTCATTTTTGTGTGCCAAGAATTTTAATTTGAAATATCGTGCACAAAATCAAAGATCCTATTGTAACTGATTTTTTTGGTAATATTTTGTTTTTTTCAACGTTGCACTCTGACACTGACAGCAGAAAAGACGCGCAGAATTCAGCTATTCCAGTAGATTTCTGTGTCGTATTTTTTGTTCTAGAACTGTTGTTACAACAAGCGCGATATACACTTGCATAACAAGAAAGTCCCCAAACAACCACCACCCCCTTTCCTTTCCCTTCCACAAAAAAATCAGACTAAATCATAACCAAGCTACAGTCGACCCCTCTTGTGTTGAACTCGCTTGAGTTGATCTTCGATTACGTTGGTTAATCCTTTTCTCAGGTCCCAGCACCTCCTTTTCTTTACAGACCTCAACGGTTAAGTTGAACTTCAGATGAGTTGATCTTTTTTTCACTCCCCTGATGACATCAACGCATCCGTAGTCGACCGTGTAATAAGCTTTCTTCACTATGAAGTTTTTGTTCGTGGCGTGCTTATTTTGGATCACAAGCATCGCTGCACGGTGCATAACCTCTAGCAATCAGCCACTTATAGCAGGGGGTCGACACCAAGGAATGTCAATTGGACTGAGTCAAGTTCTCAAGTGCACGAATTACAGGCACTCGTTATCTCAGTAAGCCGAGTCATAACTTTAGCAAGGTGAAAAGATTTTATCTCATTTTATTTTCTTCATCATCATCACCATTGTCTGCGGTTGGACTCGCCTAGGACACAGGCTGTCGACAAGCGCGGCATCTATCCGGAGAAGTCTCCGACGGAGATAGACCAATCAAAATACTTTGTGTCTCTAGACCAAGTGAATAACATCTGGGGGGTTACAGGGAGGGGGAGGGGGCATGCCCCCCTGTTTTAACCTATAATTTGATATTTTGCCTTTAAGTTTGAAATTTTCCTGAAAATGATAGATTTGCAACCGTTTTAGTGGCTATATGTGTGATCTGCAGCAAATAATACACAGTTTGACCCCCCAAAGTAGTACATCTATGTGCGGGAGTGCGTCACCGAATAGTTCCTGGGTGCTCGCCGGAGACGTCTCGAAAATATTCTGTCGTCTACAAAAGCTCTCAACGCATCTCGGTCCTGGGCCGGTTTCCCCCAGATTTCCTCACGTATCCCCCAATCTCCATCATGTATCCTGTGCCACCTCTCGGCACGACGCGTCTTTCGGTGGGCCTTCCTCTCTTCTATTTTCCATGCAGATTCCAACTGACGGATTGTTTTGAAAACTCTGTTTTGAA